TGCACAAGGGAACATATGTCAGTTAAAATCTATTACGAACTGGAATTATTCTGAAATACAACTATGGATTGGTGTAATTACCTACAAGAAGTGTGTCTTCTAAATGAGACTCTGCAACATTGAAATAGATATAAATTATATTTTATCTATTTCAATGTTGCAATAGATAAAATATGAGGGTTGGAACTTTAATAGTGGCAACACAGCTGAAAAAATGCTATGCAACAAAACCAAATATCGCATATACCACACGTGAACTACATACCTACCTTACCTCTCAGCAAAAGACTCGTCCTGCCTACGTCACGTGCATGCGGAGTGACGCGAAGAACGGATTCTTGTATTAGCTCGCGGTCTAAAGTAAGTGTTGTCAGGATGTTTTTAAAACAAGAACAATGATGTTGAATAAAAATTGAATGTGCCAGAGGTTGTACAGCACGACAGTGTCATCAAGGGCTTCAAGAGGCTTGTGGGGAATCTGCATTGCCTTACAGAACCGTAGCAAGATGGGTGAAAGCATTCAATGAAGGACGCCAAAACATGGCAGACATGCTGCAGCCAGGTCGTCCGAGTGTCAGCGATGCACACGTGCAAGCTATTGCCGCACTAATGGACAGTGATCGCCGCCAAACGATTCATCAGCTGGCTGGACAAACAGGATTAGGAAACGACTGTGCTGCACATTCTGAAGGAACGCCTGTCCATGTGAAAAATTGCTTCACGATGGGTTCCACATCAATTGACGGAAATGCAGAAATGGCTACAATACGATGCTGCCTGAACCCACCTGGAGCGCTATGAGTGCTAAGGAGATGCTTTTTTATGCCGTATCATTACGCTGTATGAGACTTGGGCCCGATCATACCAGCCAGAATTGAAACGCCAATCAAAGGAATGGCGTCATCATGGGTCACCACGACATTCGAAATTTCGTCAGAACCCCAGCAATGTGAAAGTTATGATGATTCTCGTGTACGACTGTGATGGTGTCATCCTAATGCATACCGTTCCCCCACAGCTGACCGTCACTGCGCAGTATTACTGCTCATTTTTGGAGCACAATCTCCCACCAGCTTTGAGAAAAAAATGGCGACACTTTCTGCAGAACGCTCCTCTCATTTTGCATGACAGTGCTCAGCTGCATGCAACGCAAGCTGTGACTGATTTGTTCAAGCGATGGGGCTGGGAACTGCTTTATCATCCACCATACTCCCCAGATCTAAGCCCTTGTGACTATGACTTAATTCCTAATATGAAGGAACCACTTCGTGGCACTTGCTTCCAAACTGTTCCTGAGATTCTTGTGGCAGTAGACCGGTCCATTCAAACTATCAACAAAACAGGCGCTGCTACAGGTATTCTGCGACTTCCACATCGTTGGAAACGGGTTGTACACAATGCTGGTGACTATATTGAAGGACTGTAAAACATGGTGACATGAATCACTTTTGTATCCCTTGTAAATAAATAGTTGCCACTATTAAAGTTCCAACCCTCGTATTAAAAATATAGCCGTTTCTTTCTCTTCGTTGTAAAATTCTTTGCTCCTGATGAAGAGGCGCCTGCACCTGATTGTCCCCGAAATCGATAGGCTTTTGATTAAAATCTACCCCAAACAGAAAGTTGTTGCCTCGCATAATTTAAAATTTGAATATGTTTGACGTTTGAAACGCTTGTAGCCCATTTTTAGCCCAAAGGGCTTTACCTCAGAAGGTCTATTAATTTCGTTTTGGCATTTTGTGTTGAAACCTTTATTCGTTTCACTTTTCAAATTGTTGCCTCAAATAATTTGCCTTGCATTACATTTAAAGAATTAAATAAGGAAATTCTGCATAAATATGTATGTTTCCGCATTGTGATAAAACAACGCTATCTAGAGCCATCCAATTTTGAATAACGTAATCCTCCACCGAATATGGGCATCTGGAAGTTCTAATTTAGAACTTGAAATTTGATTCGATTTCATATTTTGTAACACCTTAACGAATTTTTGATTAACAAACTTAGAGATTTCAAAGCGAGCAATGGCTAAACTGTATGGAAAAAGAAAAAATATTTTTATCTGCAGCGCGCGAGACTGTGTATTGAAAATTCTAGAGATATGCTTGTTTCAAAATTACTTTGCAATATTGCTTTTAAATTGAATTTTATGGTTTAAGTGCGAAGACCGTGATATTTAATAAATAAAAGTAACATATAAAACGTTAAAAAAACGCCTGTTGGGCGTAATGTAATTTCTTTAAGATTTTTTTTTTTTTTTTTTTTTGTTTCGTGTCTATAGTATAAGGCTGTACGAAATGCACAGGCGCGGTGAGATAGCTTCTCCGAAAGCAGATTTAGGTTGAAAATGGCAGGAAATGCAGGGTTGCCGCATTGGCAAGAAATCTCTCATTTGGCGACAAGATTGGGATATGCCATGGAGATGGAGGACCTTCTGAAACGAATTCTTACAGAAGTTCTTAGCCCAGAGTATCTCGAACACAAGCGAAAGCTATATAAACCCTGTAATATAACATTTTAAGAAACTAAATGTAGGATGATAAAATTGTGTGAAGCAATAGGCACAATGATACTTCTGTTTAAAGCAATGTAAGCAAGTCATCCTAAGTTAAAGTGTTGGTTATACATCTCTCTTATTAATACATATCTTTTCTAAACAGAACATTGAAAGGTGTGTTAAGTGTGCTTTACTGTATTTTCTCTTTTAATATATGCAGTTTTCAAATGCATCATAGTCTGAGTTAAAAAGTAATCTTCCAAAAGGAACTCAATTCAAATAAATATAATCAAATTCTGGAAAAATTATATTAATAAATATATTTAAAATGCTCAGTTCGAATGAATAAATAGAAAATTTTAAAATAATTATCTGAAGAGGGAAATGCAACACTAACAATTAAAATAAGTCTAAAAATTTTAAAACGTTACCTAAAATAGTGACTATGACTAAAATATAGTATAAAAGAAAACTATGAAAAAAAAATAATAAACGATGCGCCTTGATTGAAACTATGCAGTTCGAATGATTAAATATAAATTTTTAAAACAGTTATTCAAAAGAAACTATGCAACCAACGTAAACAAGTAAAATGCAATTCGAAAAAGAAAAAATTGCTTAAAATTAATAACAATTATAATTAAAAATATAAGATAAACAACATTATTTGAAAGAAGGAACGAATGGTTTTTTTTTTTTTTTTTTCTTTTCATCAGAACTTTATCAGAAACAACTGATGAGCAGAATGTGACTCATCTAGACTCTGTCTCCATCCTTTCTGAAACTAGGGACATCATATTTGATCATCAATTGTATCTTCTCCACATACCTGACAAATGCTATAATTGCAGCATTGTTTTTTTTTTCAGACTTTGTACAATGAGCAGTGTTCTGAAGTACTCCTTGTGACTTTTCATTTTAAATCATTAAAAACACAAATTATTCAGTAAAATTAGCATCTTTATATGCTTAATATATTATATAAAAATGAGTATCTGGATGCTTATCCCCCCCCAAAGAAAAGAGAAATACCTCTTTTTATTGAAAAATAGTCTAGTCACTCATTTTCATGTTTGTGGTAAGTCATTCCATCACAATTTGCATCTGTAAAATGAGTAGAACTTTTGTACATATCCAGTAACATATAATACGTAACTGTAGCTAAGAATCAGTCCTTAAAATGTAATAATATTAAATATTAGTTTGCAAATATGATCATATTATTTTGTTCCTTTATACTGCATAATTGTAAACTAAAATATGTAATACGTGAGTGTAATTATGTAATGTTAAATACAGTCAAAAGTCGTTAATCTGGACTCGTTGGGACTTCGCCGATTCCGATTTCGATTCTCCGGATTTAGAGATCATCAGTTACAGCTGGTAGATGGATGCGAATTATAAAATTAAACCTGAAATCGTAATTTATGAAATAAAGAACAATTATGATTAAAGGGTAATAAAATTTAAAAAAAAAGCTGAATATTTATTTACTTTCTAAACATTTTCTCAAGTAAGTTGTTAAGTTGCTTCGTTTTTATGGAAATACATTCTCTTTAATTCTATAAACATTAACAGTTACTTGTCGTCTGTACCAGTTCTTGTTCAGTTACAAAGTTCGCTGTTCAATCCATAAATTGCTGTGTTGAGAATACTGCTAATTGTCATCGAATTTTTTTTTTTTCATAACTCTGTTATTTCTCCTACGGAAGCGAATTAATGGGCGGAATTTGATTTAATTATATCAAAGGAGTACATGAGAGATGAAATACTACATTAGTAGGAATTATAAGCCAAATAAAATAAAAACATTGCCTGAAGATAGGATAGTGCTGACAGATCAACTTCCAATTCATTGCTCACCGTGTGGCGTTAAACAAACAAAGTTAGATAAAACAAACGTTAAGTTTAGATAAAACAAAGGATATGGCAGTAGCCATTTTTGCAGGGCAATTCCACTTTTGTTAATGATTAGAAACATACTTCACTTTGTAGATCCTTACATTTAGTAAATATATATCAGAAATTCTATTGGACATAATCGAAAGTTCAAGCTTACTTTTATAAAATGCTCTAACAGTCTGCAAAAAAAATTAGCCGGATCCAATCGACGTTAAGGAACAACGCAATCTGCAACATTAAACTGAATGAGATAATTTTAGTAGCTTATATCAACCGTTATACATTAAACGCGCATGCGTAATGTATTATGCGAATGCGCACACGATTTGCAGCATAAAGGTCTTACGCGATGATAAATGCTATGGCATGGTCATGCGACGCATGCGCAGAAAGTTTGTAGCTTTAAGGTCCAGATTATAGATCATTCCGGATTATGGGTGTCCGAATTAATGACTTTTGACTGTACATAACTGCATATAAAATATCAGGGCTTAAAAGTAGTAAAAATTTGAATTATTTTTATGAATAGCACTGTAGTATGTATTTTTGATAGTTATTAAAAATATAGTATCAAATATTAATAAAAATGTATTTCTTATAGAATGCTCTTCAGTCTTTAAATCCCCAGAATGTTCCTCTCACAAGCTTTGCTAGTCGAACTGATAAAGGTGTTCATGCTCTTGTGAATACTTTTCATGCAGAGTTAGTCCATAGCATTTCTGGAGAAGTTTTCCAACCACATTTCATTACAAGACGTTTAAATTCGTACTTGAAAGACAACAATCATGAAATTTTGTAAGTATTCTATTGTAATTGATACATTTTTCGATGATGAAATTTGCTTGCTGTTCTTTAAAAATGGCATAATAAATTATACTTTACCACATCAATTGTAGATACAGTCAAAAGTCTTTAATTCGGACACCCATAATCTGGAATGATCTATAATCCGGACCTCAAAGCTACAAACGTTCTGCGCATGCATTGCGTTGACGCATGCGCCTAAGACCTTTACAGCTGCGAATATGCGTGTGGGCGTGCACAAAATACGTTTACGAATGCGCGTTTAATGTATAAGGACAGTATAAGCTAAGCTAAAATTATCTAATTCAGTTAATGTTGCACATTGCGTTGTTCCTTAATCTTCAATTGGATCCGGCTTATTATTTTTGCAGACTGTTAGAGCAATTTTATAAAAGTAAGCTTGAACTTTCGATTATGTCAAATAGAATTTCTGATATATATATTATTAATATGTAAAGGATCTACAAAGCGAAAGTATGTTTCGAAGTCTATTAAACAAAAAAGTGGAATTGCTGCAAAAAAATGGATATAAAAAGGCATTTATCCTTTAAGTTATCTAAACTTGTTTATCTTTAATGCCGGTGTGCAATGAATTGGAAGTTGATCTGTCAGCACTATCCTTATCTTCAGGGCAGATGTTTTTATTTTATTTGGCTTATAATTCCTTATTAAATGTAGTATTTCATCTCGATGTACTCCGTCTTTGATATGATTTAAATCAAATTCCTCGTCATTATAATTCGCTTCCGATAGCGAAGAAAGTGCAACAGAGGTTATTGAAAACGAAAAATTTCGATTGACAAATTAGTCGGTATTCTCGACACAGCATTACAGGACTTGAACAGCGGAACTTTGTAACTGAACAAGAAATTATGTCTGTTTATAGAATTAAAAGAGATTGTATTATCACATAAAAAACGAAGCAAACTTAAACAACTTACATTGAAAGAAATGTTTAATAAAGTAAACAAATAAATATTAAGCTTTTTTTTTTTAAAATTTGATAACCTTTAGATCATAATTGTTCTTTATTTCATAAATTACGGTTTCATATTTTTAATTTTAAATTTCTTCATGCCATCTTACCAGATTTAAACTGATGATCTATAATCCGGAAAAATCAATAATCCGGAATCGCTGAAGTCCCGACGAGTCCGGATTAACGACTTTTGACCATACAATATTAAATTAAATTAATGTTACATATTTTGTGTGATATAATTGGGGAGAATTTTGCTTCGTACTTTTTGGATACTTATAATGAAAACATAAAGTAAAACGTGTATAGTTTAAAAAAATTTTTAGATGAAAATTCAACAGAATTCCATTATAATTGCATAAAGTTATCTTAGAGATTAAATATCTAAATATGCAGTGCAAATAAATTCAGTTGTAAAGAGTACATGTTAACATATACGGGTGTTCTAAAATTGAAAGATGGGAGGCAAAAACTGTTTTGTAATTCTATTTTTCCTTTTATGTAAATGGTAATGAAATGAGAAATACTCAAAATAAAATGCAACTGTAATATGTAAAATTTGATAGATAAATGCTTAAAATAAGAAAAATGTAAAAAACATATGACCATAATATGATAATTTAATTTGTGAACTTAATATGATAATTAATGATTTATTCTTGTAAAAAATTTATGATACTCATGTATTATCCCATTAACTGTGAAAGTTGACTATCATTGAATCACAAAATTTGTCGGAGATCTTGCCAAAGTGTGGGAATCATTCTTGCAGAATTCTGAAATTACTGATGCCTATTTATTTAATAAATAATAATTATTTGATCTGCTTTGTTTTTGATTTTCATAAAAAGGCTTTCGTTAATTTTTACTATTTTGTTAGATCCTGCAATATTACTGGAAGCTCTGTTTAGAATGCTGTGTACAATCTTCTTGCAGTAATTGTTCCAGTATATTATTACTTTGTTGGTCATATTTAGCTGACCATATTGTGTCCATTAATTAATACACAGTATTTTTTTAAATGGCAGGATCCCATAACTTTTAGAACAATGCACTCCTTGTTGTTCTGTAATAGCTAAGTTCTAAATTTTGATTTTTTTTTTCAAAATAAAATAAAAAAAGTAATGGCTAACTTTTAGAGTATTTTTTCATAAAAACAAAAAGTGGCTTATCAAGAATCAATCCATGTTACATGAGACGAAACTGCAGATATATGTGTTGCGATGGCATGCTTATCTGTAATTGGTGCTAAATTGCACTGCTTGGCAATAATTTCACAGTCCATGGTATAATATGTAATATATTAACATCAAATATATTACAGGTACCAAATATATTTTATGTAGCTATAGATAGATAGATTAAGTATTTTTAAATCCTATGATTTTTTTTAAATACGAGGGGGAAAAAGCTTATTAATTGTTTAAATTTCAATAGATCTTGGTGGGGTAATGACTTTGGTAAACAGAACAGCAACACATCTGCTTTTTCTGTTGGTTATTTTTTATATTAGTTTAATGTATTCATTCATTTTAAATTTGCCCTCCCCCTTTTTTAGAAAAGGGGAAAGTACAGAAAGAATAAGTATTTTTTTAAATATAAATTTTCAATGTGCTATGATATATATATTTCTTTGCAGTATTTTTATCACAAAAAGTATTGAAAATGTTGATTAATATTTCCTAAAATAATAGAATATCTTGCTTATTGTTATGCTGCTGTTTTCAAGTATTCCTTCTGTTTACACTTTTAAGTAAAAATATTTAAAAAAAGTTGTGCTTACGTATTAGTGCAACCACCTTGGCGCAGTTTTGCAATTTCTTACAGACGAAAAAGGGATTTAGTGAATTTTTGGATTGGAATTTACAGTGGGCATGGTTAGCTGAAGATTTGTTATGCACATGGTTGCCAGAGTTTGGTGACTTCTGCTTAGATGGTTGCTATAGTGCCAAAAAAGGCTCTTTTTGATTAAAGAAAAATAGCATGATTGAGAAATGTGAGAAAAATTCATTCATCATTTCTGTTTATATATTTCCAATCAGTGCTCACAGTTTTTTTGATTTTGCTATAATTTGCATATTGCATAATGTATAAATTTAGAAGATGAAATATAAGACATGGAACTAATTTTTTCTGACATCGTTAATTGATTAATACTAAATACTTAAGAAACTGGAATTAATGAATTTTTTAAATTACGTGTGTTTGAGAGTTATGTGTTGTATCAAAATGTTAAATTTTAGATGATGTTTCTATGAAGTGTTTTAAGTTAGTGTCAAAGTGCGTGTGTTTTTATAACTATCTATTGGTTATAGTAGATATCCGCATATATGTAAAGACATTCTTCAAAATTAGTAGAAACAGGAAAATTATATTTATGTTCAGTCAAAAACTTCATATAATTTGAATGCAATTTGGAGATTTCCTGCATTATTAATGACATAATGATAACATATATTTCTGTGGAAGAAGAATTATTACATTGTTATAATGCCTTTAAATCAAAATTCTGTAAGTATTTTTTAGTGTAGTTAAATAATTATGCAACCTCCTTTTACACCCATATTCTGCCATTGTCCTATATACAGGATATAGCGTATTTGATGGCTGTACAAAAAAGCAGTAATGTTTCAGCTATTTCTTTTACATTATATTATTGCTAGAAAGCTGGTTATTATATTAGCTATTTCTTTTAAATTTTTAATTTTACAAATCTGTTTTTTAAAAACGTACAAAAAAGGACTAATTTTGATTTTTTGTGCTTCATTCTTTTAATGCATAAAAAAAAAAAAAAAGAAAAGAGTAAAATAAAAAGTATTGATTCATTTAAAATAAAATAGGTCTCCATTAAGGTGAATAACAAAAAATCAGAAAGAAAAATGTATTATAGATCCTCCTTTTCCTTTCTTTTTTAGAGTGTCCTATAGTACAATGGTAAAATCCACTATTATATGACGCTAAAATGTAACACCCTTTGGAGTAAAATGGTTAAGTCTGTTTCATCCTCTTGCTGCAAAATGTAGCTGTCAACTACTAATTGTCTTGCCTCCCCTTTCATAAAAAGTTCTATTTAGTATCTGAAGGCTGTTTCACATGTTTTATTTTTTGAAAGAAATTTACTCTTGTAAATGTTTATTTTTTGAGGTATATTTAATTTTACCCTTCTGAATTGAGTCGAAAATTTATGACAGCTGAAGAAACTTTAGGATATTTGATGACATTAAATAATGAAGATATTGAAGGTATTGAGCTGGTAATGGTAGTAATACCACCTGATCCAGATGCAGGCAGAGACAAGGAAGAAATAGACTATGATTGCACTAAGACTAGACCCAGCCAAGCTATTTGTGATGAAAATGTAGCAGGAACTGTGGAAGTTTTAGTGGGAAATAAACATGATGAAATATATGTGCCAAAATCTGATTGGGAAGATTGCATGCCTCACGTGCTTCAGAAATATTTTCTCAAGATTCATGTCATTCTAAAACTCATTTTGTTACTGGAATAATAGAATGACCAATTGCCCACTAAAATCAATCAGAGTGAGGAAGAAGATGGATCGGGGCACAGATCAGCAATTCCATTCAAATAATGAAATCGTAGCGGTTCACTGGTATGATAACAAAGTAGTATCAGTGTGTTGAGGATCTAGGGGGCAAGTCAAAAGTGGATTCAAGCAAGTTGATATTCCAGCATGTACAGTCAAAAGTCTTTAATCCGGAGTCGTCGGGACTTCAGCGATTCCGGATTATAGATCATCAGTTTAAATCTGGTAAGATGGCATGCAGAAATTATAAAATTAAAAATATGAAACCGTAATTTATGAAATAAAGAGCAATTATGATCTAAAGGGTATCAAAATTTACAAAAAAAAAGCTTAATATTTATTTGTTTACTTTATTAAACATTTATTTCAATGTGCGCATGCGTAAAGCACACATTACGCATAGTCGAAATTAAAAAATTGCAACAAGAAAACTATTTGATGTGTATTCGTGATATTTATAATGAT